CCTCCTCATCCTCCTCACCCTCCTCATCCTCATACACACGGCACACACCTCACCCTCCTCACCCTCCCCACCCTCCTCATCCTCACACCATGGGCACACACCTCACCCTCCTCATCCTCACACCATGGCACAGCCCCTCACCCTGGGGTTGTGCCGTGTCCCTGTCCCTGGCAGCCCCTCAGAGCATCACCAAGGGGAAACCACAAACGGGGATTGACTGCAACCCCCAGCTCCCCATCCCGGGTTAAATTCAGGAACATATTCCAAAGCACAGGGACGATGGGACTCTGGGTTCAGATGGAATGTTGGGGACAAATTCCTCCCTGTGAGGGTGGGGAGGCCCTGGCACAGGTTACCCAGAGAAACTGTGGCTGCCCCTGGATCCCTGGAAGTGCCCAAGGCCAGGCTGGACAAGGCCTGGAGCAACCTGGGCTAGTGGAAAGTGTCCCTGCCCATGGCAGGGATGAGCTTTAAGGTCCCTCCAACCCCAAACATTCCATGGTTCCATGAGCCCCAAACCTGTACCCACCTGCTGCCCACCCCCTTCTGCCACCCCTCCACTTGTACCCGCTCTACCCTGTCCCCTCTCATTTTCCCAGCTCACCCAGCATTTCTGAGGAATTTTCGGCATCTCACCGTGCACTTGTGAGGTTTCTCGCCCGTGTGCCGCCGCATGTGCACCACCAGCATGTACTGAGCCTTGAAGGGCCTCTGCTCCCGGGAACACGCTGCCCAGTGGCACACAAACTCCTTCTTCTCCCCGTGGATGTGCTCGTTGTTGATGTGCTGAGAAGGGAGAGGAGCATCACTGGTGGCACTGGGGAGGGGGACAATGGGCAGGGAGATACGGGAATATAATGGGAAAAAGGGGTATGGAGGGATTGGGGTGGCAGAAAGGGACGTGGACAGACTGGGATGGGAGAAAGGGACATAGAGGGACTGGGATGGCAGGTGCAGATAGCAGAGTTTGGGGGAGAACAGCTCAGGTGGGTTTGGAGGAGGCAGAGAATGCAGGGGATGTTTGAGGGATGCTCTGGGAGGATCAAGAGTGGCCAAAGGCATCAAGGTGATCTGAAGGATGGTCAGGGGGATATAGGAGAGTTGGAGGAAAGAAAGCTGGAGCAAAGGAGGGAGTCTGGAAGCACCAGTGGCTGAGGAGAGCTGGGGGATGCCCATCCCTCCCTTCCCAGCATCACAGTGAGCTCCCAGGGCGGGTGGTTGGGAACTGAGCAGGAATCATGGGCTGATCCAGGGGGATGAGGGCAGCTTTGGGGTGGGAACACCTCGGCAGCCCCTGACTCACGTGCACCAGCTGCTCCTGTGTGTCAAACTCCTTGGCACAGCCGTCCCAGTAGCAGTTGGTCTCATACACAGCCTCACACTCGGGTTTCCCATCCTCCTTCTCCAGCTCTTCCCGAACATCCAGCATGCCCAGCAAGGGGTCCTGGGGGAGCACGGACAGGTGAACGCTCCCAGGTGTGACCCCCAGGAGCGGTGCTGGAGTGTGGGGATGTGAGGGGGGATCCCATGGCCTGGGGTGTACCTGGGTGCCCGTGGACGCTGGGCTGGAGATGTCACCCTCAGATCGCTCCTCTGGGAATTTGGCACTCAGGGGGCTGCTCAGGCTCCACTCCAGCTTCAGCTGCTGCCGGGGCAGGGGAATTGGGAAGCAGTCGGCATGGAGATGGCCACAGGAACACGACTTACATGGATGCACAGCTCACAGGGATCCCTCTCACACAGATCCCACTCACGTGGATCCACTCACATGGACCCACTCATCCAATCACACGGATCACCCTCACACAGAACCCCTCACGTGGATCCCTCTCACATGGATCCACTTACCCGGATCCTCTCACACAGATCCCCACTTACATGGAACCCCACTCACACAGATCCCTCTCACACAGATCCCATCCCCTCACCCAGATCCCCTCACACGGATCCTTCTCACATGGATCCCATCCCCTCACATGGATCTGCTTGGACAGATCCCTCTCACCCAGATCCCCTTCTGGATCCCCTTCTGGATCCCCTCACCCAGATCCCCTCACCCAGATCCCCTCACCCAGATCCCCTCCTGGATCCCCTCACGGATCCCCTCACCCAGATCCCCTCCTGGATCCCCTCACCCAGATCCCCTCACCCAGATCCCCTCACCCAGATCCCCTCACCCAGATCCCCTCCCGGATCACCTCATGGATCCCCTCACGGATCCCCTCACCCAGATCCCCTCCTGGATCCCCTCCCGGATCCCCTCACCCAGATCCCCTCCCGGATCCCCTCCCGGATCCCCTCCTGGTACCTGGCAGTGTTTCAGGGTCCCACGGGGCGGGTGCTGCAGCAGCCCCGGGCGCGGGGGCAGCTCGTGGGAGCTGCACTGTGGGGGTGGCGTGTACAGGTGGCCTTGGCCCTTCTGCTGCCCAGGTGGGCTCTGGTACCCCAGGGACGGGCTGAGGAGACCAGAGGGACGAGCAGGTGACACCGGCAGGAGACAAGAGTGAGATCTGCCCAGCCGGGGATCCCGATCATCCCTTCCCCACCATCCCACCCCGCTCCGGCTCTCCCAGCGCTCCCCGAGGTGGGAACGGGCACTGGTGCCCACCTGATGGTGCTGATGGAGAGGTGCCCGTAGGAGCCCCCAGCCGAGGCACAGCGGGAGTTGATGAAGGCCACGAGGGAGTTGGGAGAGGTGCGGATCACGGTCTGCAGGTCGATGCTGGAGTCGGACAGCGGGGAGATGGACAGTGCCCGCTTCTTCCCCAGCTTCCCCGCGCCGCGGGGCGTGGAGAACCGGGAGCCTGGGAGGGCAGAGCAGGGGGCACTGCCCTCAGCGTGGCCAGAGCAGGGGGCACTGCCCTCAGCGTGGCCCTGGGGGCTGCAGACACCCCACGGACACACAGCCGGCGTTTGGAGGCTGCAGGAGTGCCCTGAGTGCACCAGTTCGGATTTAGAACAGAGAGATGCTTAACTCCTCTAGGGAATCCTGGAATCCCCCGTGCCCCACGGGCCCCCAAAACCGGAGACTCACCGTCAGCAGCGAGTTCAGCTCCTGGTGCCAGCCCATAGCCACGGTGCCCGGGCTGATGGCACACGGGGAAATCAAGTCCTGGAGGAAGGAGGACGGGTGAGGTGGGTGTGGGAGAGGGACCCCCGGAGCACCCCTGACCTCGAGGGGTGGATGCGGAGCCTAGAGCCCCCCACCATGACCCACCTGGTGGTCCCGGGGCGGCGGGGGCGGGTCCGTGGGGTGGGTGCAGGCAGCAGTGCTCGCTGTAGCCGGCGGCCGGGGGTCCCGCGGGGTCGAACATGTCGCGGTGGGGCCCGGGGGTGTCTCAGGGGAACATCGGGGTGGCGGCGGGGCCCGGGGGTGTCTCAGGGGAACATCGGGGTGGCGGCGGGGCCCGGGGGGCTGCGGGGCCCGGAGCGGGGACCTGGGGGGGGTGGGATGAGGTTGGGTTTGGCCGCCAGGGGGAGCCGCAGCACGCGGGACCCCGCTCCCGGGACTGGTTTTAAACTAAAACAGGGGAGATTTGGGGATCCTGGGAACAAATTCCTCCCTGTGAGGGTGGGGAGGTCCTGGCACAGGGTGCCCAGAGAAGCTGTGGCTGCCCCTGGATCCCTGGAAGTGTCCAAGGTCAGGCTGGACGGGGCTTGGAGCAACCTGGGATAGTGGAAGAGGTCCCTGCCCATGGTGAAGGGTCGGAACGTGACTTTAAGGTTTCTTCCAACCCAAAACATTCCGGGATTCTGGGTTTCTGTGAAATGGAAAAGCGAGGCACAGCCGGAACCATTCTCGGGCCAAGGACCAGAGCTATTCCTCCCTTCCCAGGGATTCTCCAGCATCTGCAGGTCCCACCCAGCCCTGCCTTGCCCGTAGGTCCCCACCCTGCCCGCGGGTCCCCACCCTGCCCTGTCCCACCCACGCATCGCGCCCCTGCCACGGGGCTCAGCCCAGCCCACCGTCGATCCCTGCCTGTGGGGTCCTGCCCTGAGCCTGGTCCCACCCCCCAGGGCCACCATTCCGCCCCCAACCCACCCCAACCCCCTGGTCACCCCCCACTCCACTCCCGCTCATGGTCCTTGTCCTGCCCCCCAGCTCCAGCTCCATCCAGGGCCACCATCCCGCGCCCATCCATTCCCACCGCCCCGCTCCCTGTCCTGCCCCAAGACCCCCGAGGGCTGACATGAAGGACAGGAGCGGGAGAAGCCACCACAGGACGAGGCAGATGTGGGTGGCACTGGGAACGAAGGCTCCTGCCCCCTCAGCTTCCCCCTTTGAGACGCGGGGAATCGCCCCAAACAAGGGGTCTGGGGGAGTGGGAGCCCCTCACCCCGCTGGGAAAAGCGCTGGGTTGCGTTTGGAGCCGGGGGGGCGAGGGGGGCAGCAATTCTTCCGCATGAGTTGCCCCTTTGAAAGCTCGTCTAGGGGCTTTGTGAGAGTGTCAGGCAGGAAGAATGGAGGGGGGGGGCAGCGGGGCAGGCAGAGGGGAGGGGGCTGCCCAGGAAGGTGGTGGAACTGGGTGGGGGGAAAGAGAGATGAGGAGGAAACGGGGGGCAGAGAAGGGGGCTCTCACCTGCCCCCTGGGCTTTGCAGAAGAGTTTGGGGATTACCCCTGGTGCAACCTCCCACCTGCCCTCACCTGCCAGGGCTAAGGAGGTTTGCAAGACCCTTCCCCTAAAGTTTGTGGGGTTGTGGGGTGACCCCAGCCCTCTGTGGGTGCCGCTGCTCAGGTGTGTGCACACACACAGGGATGCGTGACCCGACCCACCAGAGAGGTGTGTGTGCACCTGGGGGCTTGGGGCTCAGCAAACCCCCACCTCCCCCTCCCCACAACCATCAGCTGAGACCCCCGGTTGCCCTGGTGACCGTCAGTCCTGTCCCCCTGCTCTGCACAGCCCTGGAGCACAGGTTCCCACACACCTGCGGAGCAGCCACCCCGTGCAGGCACCGGCAGCGCTCAGGTACAGCCGGGGGAACACACACAGAGCCCTGCACGCACAGGGAAACACACTCAGCACACGGAGAATCACAGCATGGGCTGGGAGAAACCTTAAAGCTCATCCTGTTCCAGGAGCAGGGACACCTTTCACTAGCCCAGGTTGCTCCAAACTGGCCTGGAACACTTCCAGGCTTCCACACACGCGCCCAGCACGTCCCTGCACATGGGGCACACACAGGTCCCCACCTCAGCACCCCCGTAGTTTTCACACCACCTCCCTGCCCGGGGCTGTGCCCCCTTTTATCTCCCTCCAGCACCCCCTGGGCCAGCTCTGGGGGTGCTCTGGCCCCCAGCTCCACCGAGGGGCAGCGGGAGCCTGAAGGTCCCACTGTGCTGAGGCAGCGTGGGGAAGGGCTCGATGGGCAGAGCCAGCCTGGCAAGGTGGGTGCCCGGTGGGTGCCCGGTGGGTGCCCGGTGGGTGCCAGGTGGGTGCCAGGTGGGTGCCAGGTGACGTTCCCCCAATCCCCCACATCCCACCTCTGAGCACCAGCACACGACAAAGGGCGGCTACACAACATCAAAAACACCCCAAAACCACCGGTCCCAGCCACAGGATGCTCTCCCCAACCCATGGGGTCCACAGGGGCTCCCCAAACCGCGGTGGCCCCCCGAGCCGAGGAGGCAGGATGGGGCCGGGAACGCTGGGAGCCAATGGGAAGCAATGGGAAGCAACGGGAAGCAATGGGAACCATCCGGCGTCTCGCCCACCGCCGCGCTCGCCTCCCCCGCCGGCCGCACACCGCCGCGGCCCACCCAAGTCGCAGCCTTTGGGCATAAATTTGAGAGCCAGGCGCAGGCGGGATGAGGGGAATCTTCCCTCGCTCTCCTCCTGCCAAGAAACTCAAACTGAAACACATTCCTGCTCCTCTCTGCCAAGAAAACCAGGAGCGCAGCCAGCGGCGGGAGCTCTCGGAGCAGGGCTGGCTCCAGACGCCGAAACGCGGAGCGGGAGGGGGGTCAGGGCTGGCCGCCCCCCTCCCCCCCCAGCTCCTCGCCTTTTATTTCCTGCAAACACATCTAAAATCTGTCATCTGGCTCCAGTTTCCTGAGGACACTGGGGAACGGGGTCGGGGGGAGAGGGAAGGAGATGGAGGGGAAGGCAGAAAGGGGATGGAGGGAGTTTATGGGGTGGGACGTCGGGATGGTGACACCGAGGGGTGCTGGGGGCAGAGAGACCCCAGCGCCGATGGGTGCTGGGGCAGAGATGCTGGGGAGGTGGGAGACAGACGTGGGCACTGACGGCCCTGGGAGACCAGAAGAGGAGGAGGAGAAGGCTGCAACCCCCCCCCTTCATCACCCCACGATGGGGCAGCCCCCCAGCTCACCTCCCCAGCGCACCCCGGACGGGACAGACCCCACGACAGCGCAGACAGACCCCCACTCCTGCTCCCACGTGCACCGGGAACGCTCCCGCTCCCCCCCAGCCCCCAGCCGTGGGTGCAGCGGGGCGGTTCCCACCCATCCCAGCCCCCGGGGGTCTCGGGGGGTCCCTGTGCCCCCAGCCCCGGCAGGGTTAACCGGCCCGGAGCCCCACTGTGGAGGAATGCGATGTCAGGGCTGGATTAGCCCCCGCCGTCCGCAGCCCGGCCGCTCGGAGCTGTGTGTGGCACAATCCATCAGCCTCCGGCACAGCCCCCGGCGTGGGGGGCCGGGGGGGCTCGGGGGGGCGGCGTGCGTGGGGCAGCCTCGCTGCTGGCAGCGCCTGGGTGAACACACGTGTTTTCTGCGTGTTCCCATGTGCGTGTGGGGATTCGTGTTTATGGGGGAGAGGGTTTTTTTGGGGGGACGATGTCAGGATGGTGACAGCGGTGAGTGCTGGGAGAAGAGACACCCCAAAAAATCGAGGGGTGGTGGGAGCAGAGACACCCCAAAACTGGTGGGAGATGGAGCTGGGATGGTGGGAAGGAGGGAGGGAGGCAGATGTAGCCCTTGGGAATGTAGGGACACAGGGATGTGTGGCTGTGTCGACACACGTGTGGGATGTGCACAATGTGGGGAGCTACAACACCTGATGGGGGGCCCGGTCACCCCAAATCCTCACTCAGGATCCTCCAGGGAGGAGCGAGGGAGGGCCAGAGCAGAGAGAACAGGCAGACAGAGGGAAGGGTGCGGTGCTGGGACAGGGGCCATGGTGGGGACACACCCAGAAGACCCCTGTGCACCCTTTTATTGGGAGAGCCAGGCTCTGCACTGGAGTGGGCAAACCCCTGAGCCCACCACAGGCACTCCAACAGCCCCAAACCCACCCAACCCTAACCCTGACCCTAAACCCGGGCTGCAAGTCTCCTGGCTGGCAGGGATCTGTCAGGAGCCAATGCTGGCCAGGACAGGGGGTCTGCCAGGGTCACTCCGACCCTCCCTCGTGCTGCACAGCCCCAGCACAGACTGCAGATTCCCCACGGAACAAACACCTTTTCTCTGCCCTAGGAGCTCAGCCTGGGGTGGGAATTGACCCCAAATCTTCCTGGACTCTGCAGAAGCACCGTGTGGAACCCCCGACCCCCCTGTTAGGCCGGGCTTTAGGGCCAGCCCCAGCCCCTCCACATGGGGCAGCTAATCTGCCCAGGACTGCGGCTCCACAAAGCGCATCGCTTCAGGTTCAGGGGGTCTGAAAGGGGACGACTCAGGGTCACGATCCCGTGCTGGTGGGGGCTGCCGAGCTCGTTCCAAGGTGGTCCCCAGCCTGGAAAAGCTGAGGCGAGGAATAACCAGCTTAAGGCTGGAGATGGGAAGTTTATGCTGGTGTGGAGGGAAAGGCGCAGACACATCACTGCCAGGACAGACTTGGGACATCCCAGACTCCATCCTCCCTCTCCCAGCCCTGTCACACATCCTCATTCCCCACCCAATCCCAAAATTCTTCTTTGCCATTTGCAGCACTCCCACGGAGAGGATCTGAAATCCCTCCCCAGCCCACCCACCCCTCCAGGTGTCCCCCAGCACCCCAGTGCCACATCTCAGGGGACAAAACCATCTGCCCCTCTCTGCCACGTGCACCCACACCCACCCAGGGCCGTGCACTGACACGTCTCTGGACGTGTTAACACACGCTGACACACGTGTGCTTCGGGGAAGGAAAGGCAGGCAGCCGGGTCCCGCGTACCCAGGGCAGGGATAACCCACGGAGGGAGGCTGCAGATTCCCTGGAAAGAAGAGATTCCCAGCCCTCCACCACAGTGGAGCTGCTCAGGAAGCCGTGGCAGGGGTGGGGGGGCTCCATAGGTGGTCCCCAGGCGGGCGGGCGACCCTCGCTGCTGTTGTTTGCTTTGGCCCCCAGCACACGCTACCCCCCAAATCACTCCCCTAAA